ATTTAACCCAGGTTCAGGGTACTTGAGCTCCCCTCCTTGCTTCTCTCTGTATCCCCACCCCCAGATTTCCTCGAGGCCTCCCCTCTGAGATCAGACCCAGCCAGGCCTGGTGGCTCTGCTCTCTGCTCTGCCCTGCTGTGTGGCCCCAGGGGCAGGGGCTGCTGGGGCTTTGTTTTTTCCCTAAAATCCCTTGGGGCAGGCGAGAAGCCCAAGGCTCCAGTATGCTGCTTCAGTGGGACAGGAACACATCCAAGGCCAGGGGGAAATCATGGTATTTTCCCCAGTCATTAGCACAAGTCAACAGCAGCGTGACTGCTGCCCACACTCTCGTGGGCATAACAGCCATCACCAAGAAACAGTATAGACTGGGGCATCGTTAGATTCCACATCTGTATTTTCTCTGCATGTGCTACAGCCTTTCCTAAGAATGCAAATCCCTACCCCATTCCAGAGGAAGAAACAGACTAATTTTATTATGGAGTCAGCAGGGGTGTGGGGACCCTTGTCCCATAGAAATACACCACTCCCCTCACTCCAGCTCCCAACAGCCAGCTCGTAAAGCCTGAGGCAGAGTGATGACAGAAAGACCTCCAGGACACTGTCACCCTAGAAAACCAAACAGCAAGAATTCCCTAAGGATTAGGAAATTTCCTAAGTCCTATTTTCCTAGCAAAGCAGTTCCAGAGCTTTGCAGACACAAGCTCTATATGGGTCACAGAGAAGACAGCAGCGGGGGAGTGGGGGGGGGTACCCATCTCCACACAGGTGGCCCTCATCTGCCAAAATCAGCAGTGAAGAGGCAGTGGTCTCTGTCATCAGCAATGTCTTTAAATGAAATTCTAATCAAATGGCAGAATGTAACAAAATACATAGGAAAACTACTGAAAAATACTGAATAGTCTTTAAAATATGAACATGGACAATGCTAATATATGGAAATATGCACACAAAATGAAAAAGTGAAGCACCAAATGGAAGATAAGCACCAATTATCATCCTCTCTAAAGTGCACCAGTAGCAACTAAAGTCAGAAATGAATTCTGCAATATTCAATCAGAGATTGGTGGATGCAAAGTTCCTTCGATCTGTAGGACAGAGTGAGTAATGTTTAATAGGTCTCTCATAGAAACCCATTTTTCTCCAATTATCTTAAAATCAAAGTGAACCCAGAACCCAAAAGACAACCCACCCTAGAAGGGTGGGGGCCACTGAGCAGGAGGGGCCTCAGCACCTGCTCTCCAAGCTGCCACCAGGGCCAGTCAAGCAATGTCCCCGCTCCTGTGAGGTGCCAGTTCCAGACTGCTGCTCAAGGTCAGAGGCTGAACATCCTAACACAGAGAAGAGTTGCTCAGACCCCAACAGGCCCCCAGAAAGTTGTTCAGACCTTCACAGGTCCCAGTTAATGCACCACTAATCTGTATTTACCAACACGGCATGGGGAGATGGGGGGGCAGGCAGAGAAGATCATGAACCACCGGCCCTGAAGGAGGTGACTATTCATTCTCAGTCTTGTCAGTGGCACACAGCTGGATAATGTCCATTATCATTATGGGAGAGACGAGGTAAATTGTGGGGAGGGCATATTGTTCATCCATTAGGAGAAAAATGGATTAGATGCATGTGCAGAATGTGAATGGTCTGAAAAATATAGGGCTAAGAGAAAAAGTGGGAAACAGAATGGACTACGGAGCACCTTATATAAATTCATAATGCACACAGTGCTGAGAAACTGCCACCACCAAGAGGAGCCTGAGGGGCCATGACCATGAAATGCAATGTTGTGTCCAGGATGCAATCCTGGGACAGAAACAGCACAGCAGGCAAAAATTAAGAAAATCTGAATAAAGTATAGATTTTAGTTAATGATAATGTATTGCTATGGGTTCATTAATAGTGTTATATGTACCATATTAATGTAGATGTTAATAATAGGAGAACTGGGTACAGGGTATACAGGAACTCTGTCCAATTTTTCTGTAAATCTAAAACTGTTCAAACAATAAAACCCATTTTAAAATGAAAAAAAAATACATAAAGCAAGAACGACACTACACATTTCCCAAAAACACAAAGCATTGGAATAATTACCTGTGGAGTAAGCAGGCAGTGAAGAGTGAGGGGAGGTATTTAAATAAATAAGGAGAGGGGGGTCCTTGTGCAGATCAATGATAATAATGCACCATGATTGAGATGTGCGATGAACTCAATTCTTTGCATCAGAAGTCCCAAAACTAATAACAATAATACATTTTTGGAAGAGAGAGAGAGAGAGAGAGAGAATACAGTAGGTCCTGATGGCTACATGAATGTTGGGAGCTCTGGTGACAGAAGGGGGAACCAGGGAAGTTGAAATAGCCCTAGGAAGGAGGAGTTAGGTAGACTTTGAAGGCAGGGGTGGGGACTGGGAGGAAGGAGCTTTTGGTGGTTACAACAATCCAGGACCCACTCCACAGCCCGTCTAACATTGGTCAGGCCTAATTCCCAGCCAAAGCCAGGAAAACCCAATAGCAACTAAAATAAAACATGCTGGAAGGCTGCAGAGATGGACAGTGATACTATTAGTAGTAGTAGTAAAAGTCAACAGGACAGTTATATTTGAATTTGAGATCAACAACAAATAATTTTTTAGTATAAGTATAGCCCCAATATTGCATGGGACACACTTATCCTAAAAAATTATTTATTGTTCTAAAATCCAAATTTGACTAGACATCATGAATTTTTATCTGGTAACTCTACATAGTAATAATAGCAAATACTGTTCTAGATACTTTATTTTTTGTCTTGTTTCATATTCATAACAACCCAATGAAGGATGTATTGTTATTCCTACTTTATAGACGTGAAAACTTTAACTCAAAAGGATCTAGTCACTTGCCCCAAGGTTGTGAGGCTGGTATATGCCAGGCCTGGGATGTGAACATCTGTACTCTGACTCCAGAGTCCACATCTTTTTTTTTTAATCTTTATTGTTGAAAGTATTACATATGTCCCCATTTTCCCCTATTGACCTCTCCCATCCCCCCCTCGCCCCTTCCCCCAGGCCTTCACCACCCTATTGTCTGTGTCCATGAGTTATGCATATATGCATACAAGTTCATTGATTGATCTCTTTACCCCTCCCACCCTCCCCTGCCTTCCCTCTCAGGTTTCACAGTCTGTTTGATGCTTCTATGTCCCTGGATCTAACAGAGTACACATCTTGAGCAACAATGCTTCCCAACTGAACAGGGAAACAAAGTGGGGCCTCCACACCCTGACACCTACAGGCAGGTGTGTGTACTGCAGCCTGGCCACAGTGGTAGTGACAAAAGTTCTCTGGCACTCAAAACACTCGACTACCTCAAGAAACCTTCCCACCAGACCCCAATCAGAGGCACCAAGTGAGCTTTCAGTTTCAAAAAATGGAAATCAGCACCCTCACAACAAGGGACGCCAAGCAGCCCTAAAAGAGAGCGCTTTCCCTAGACTGGTGGAAAGAATAACAGGAGAAGTAGCTTCTGACTTAAGGGTCTGGATAAGCAGCATGAGTCAACACAAAGACGGTCTGAGTCAGGCCACATGCCATCCTGCCTGGGGACAGAGAAATGCATGAATGACCTCTGGGGGTCCCTTCCAGTTTGGGGACAACCTTAACTTGATTCTCACAAAACAGGTTTCTGATGAGAATGGCACTGCACCCCTCAACATGACACCTCTAAAAAGAATCATAATGAGTATTTGCTGAGCACCTACTATGTGCCGAATATTGTGCTGAATGTTCTCATTACCCTGGTCTAATGATGGGACATGTAAAACTAAAATCCATCGGGGTGTCTATTATTTTGTAGATGAGGAACCTGAGACTCGGGGAGGTCACTTACTTATTCAACTAACATGTGTTAAGCACCTACTACTTTATTGTTTAGACTCTGTGTTAGGTGCTGGGGATACAGCAGTGAACCAAACAAGACCCCTGTCTTGATGGAGCAGGTGGGGCACAGAATATAAAAACAAATAAACCTCTCATGTTATTTCAGATAGTGGGGCTAAGTGTGATGAAGAAAAGGAAAGCAGGATCAAGGAACAGAGTGAAGGGGCTGTGGTATTCTAGCTAGGATGGTCAGGGAAGATGTATGGAAGGAGGCAGCATTTGAGCAGAGGTGTGGAGTAAGGGAGTGAGAATGCACAGGTCTGGAGAAGGGTACAGAGGCAGAGGGGACAACCAGTGCAAAGGCCCTGACATGAGGGTGACCAATACATACAAGATAAGGCTGGTGGGCTGGAGCAGGTGCAGGAGGATGGGAAGGGGTAGAAAATGAGTTTGAAGAGTATGGTGATAGCAGGTCATTTTTAAAGGATCACTGTGGTATGGAGAAATGGATGGGTAAATGAATTCATAAATAAATGAAAGGATATTTGGATGGATAGATGGATGGATGGACAATAGACAGATAAATTTCCATGGATTCCCTTAGGATGGCTACTGCCCAGAGGTGAGAATATATATAGCTCACATGTTTAGTTCCCAAATAATCAACTCAGTTGATTCAGTTCCCAAATAACCAACTCCCTCAGGGGTCCCAGGCAAGCACATGCTTTAGTGAAGTAGAGCCTGTATACTGGAATTTTGATCCATAGTTCAACAGGAAATCAGGGTCTTCATCCCAAGGAAACCATTACAGAGATGGCCACAGGATGGGGCCTGAGAACACCAGGAAGAAATGTCCTGCCTTCAGTCCCTACTAGGCTGACTCCCACACAAGAGCCTGGCACGCGAGCACACACACACACACACACACACACACACCTACTACCTGGGATCCCCTAGGTAGAGTCACTAGATATACCAAGACTCTTCCTCAAGTCCTTGGGCAAGAAAATCGGGTTTTTCCATCAGAAAAAAAAATGCCACCTTTCAGAACAAAGCCAAGGCTCCCTACAGATGACACTGGTCACCTGGCGCCCAGCCCTGCAGGGTCATCCCATCCCACAACCTTGTGACACCTGCCCAACCTCACCTCCACGTCCTTCTCAAGCTCCAGCCCAGCCTCCATCAGGTTGTGCTCAAACTCCTCCCGCTGCTCCTTCCTCTCCTCCTCCAGGGCATCCAGCCGCCCCAACTCAATGTCACGAGAGCCCCCAGCATGGGGCTCCTTGCCAGTCTCCCCATTGGAGATGATGGCCAGCGACTGGCCAGGGGAGCTGTGGCTGGGATGCGCCCCTCGTTTCCGGTGGTGGTAGGCCAGCACGTAGTCGACCTTCCTTTGGTTGTCATGGAAGTGCATGCGACTCAGAGGGGCCTCCGAGGACACTGACTCGTTGGCATCCAGGTAGTTGTTGACGACCTGGCCAGAGAAAACAATAGAAATAGTGAGGTCTGATGAGGAAGGGGTGAGAGACAGAGGGTGCAGACCTTGCTCTGAGCCCCAAAAAATGCACTAGGAAGCAAGCCCCTTAGGCCCCGAGGCCCCAACTGCCCCAGTGAAAGGACAGGGTGGCCTAAATTCACCTGCCACACTCACCCCACACAGCCCTCCACCCCCTGTCCACAGCCCAGGCATGGGTACCTTCACACCTGCTCCAGCCTTCATGCACACATGCACGCTCACATACAGACTGCACACACAGCAGCAAACCCATGCACAGCCCCACCACCTGCCTCCACACACAGAGCCCCAAGCCCACTCCTGCACATGCACACAGTCACTCACCCAGCTCTCTGCACCAGCACTCCTGCACACACACCCGTGCACACGTATAGTATATCACCAAGTGCACTCTGACATGCCCACAAGCTCTCCACATGCACAGTGGCACACCCATCTCCTTGCAAATCTACAACACGCATACACACACACACAGAGTACTCACTGGCAGGTTCTCTGGATCCATTGGAACAAAGGCCAATTTCTGGTCACCTGGCCCACCCCCACCTCCCACCCCGAGGGGATTCACTATACACTATGCCCCTCACAGCCCCACATTATCCTCTTCCTCCTCCTCTCCAGCCACTGGTGGCAGCAGGGGACTGACTCCTGCTCCCGTCCACCTGTGGAGATGGGACATTGAGAGAAGAGGAGAAAGAATGAGGCGGAGCAGAGGAGGGACTTGCCTCCCCTTGGGGTGTTTCCCTGTTTATTACTGGCTTGATACCCAGCTGCCTCAGCAGCCACCTGAGAGGTCACCTGGGCAACCAGGCACAGGGGAAAGCCTCCAGAGCCACCACAGCAGAGGTGGGAGGGGAGCTGTGGTGTCTGCAGACCAATAGGTGGGATCACTGGACTTCTCACACCTCCTTCTTCCAGGTCCTCTGACCAAAAGACTCCAGCATGGCTGGGACATTACACTGTCATGACTTATAGAGAAAGAAAAGGAAAGGGGGCCTAAATAAAAACCCCGCTTCTCTCTCTCTCTCTCTCTCTCTCTCTCTCTCTCTCTCTCTCTCACACACACACACACACACACACCTGCCCCCTAAGTGAAATTTCCCCAGTCACGAGGCTCCCCTTGGCCATCCCCCCAAGCCCACTACTCACGGAGCTGCTGTGGGAGCTCTCTTCACTGGACAGCTGGCCAGAATCTCTGTTGGAGCTGCCCTGCAGACCTGGGGCTGGGGGACCCGGCACCTTGAGGTATTGCTGTCCTTGTTTGGGGCCCTGGCCGCCCCTGGCCACTGCACGAGGGCTCAGCCTGCGTGGGGAGCCAGGGAGCAAGGGGATGTCTGTGAGAGAAAAAGACAAAACAGGCAAAGCACTTCAGGTGATGGGGAAGCCAGGACACAGAGGAGCTGAGGCCCCGAGGGAGAGACACGGTGGGTGGTCCTAAAAATGGGCATGTCTCCTCAGAGCCTTGGTAATCCAGGGTCACACTGGCCATGGGGAGAAGAGAGTGGAGAAGGAGAGTCTCGCTCCACTACACACACACACACACACACACACACACACACACACACACACACACACACGGAGCCTGGAGCCACCAGCAGGAGCCCCTGTTGATGATCGCTGTCATAATCTCTTGTAAGTCCCAGACAAGAGGGTGGCATCATGGGAGCCAGGGTAGGTGGGATACTGTCTGGAGACACATCTGGAATTAATTCCAAAAACTTAGGCTGAGGGCCTCTCTGGGGGCAGCCAGACCAGCCAGCACCACTCCTGGAGGAAAGAAAGAGCAAGGAGAAACCAATGGTGGGCCCGCTGAAGGCAGGAGTGTCCTCTGACAAAAGAGCAGCTTCCAATGTCCTTGAGGGGTCCCCACACACCTTCTGGCTCCACCAAGGCCTCAGAGCTCATGGCCCTTCCTCAATCCTCCCCAGAGCAGCCCTTCTAACAGCAGCACTGCAGTGCTATTTCCAAAGACTCCCAGCAGCACCCTGGAGGGAGAGGAACCCAGTGGGTGATGGAACACAGCATGTTAGAAGTGGGGGGACTGAGGGATGAAACACTCCAACTCCACTTTGTACCAAAGTCCCAGACAGGGGCCACAAGTTGCCAGGGTCTCACAGCTGATCACACTCAGTCTTTTCCCACCTCTGAGGAACACTTTCAAGCAGAGAAGCATAGTCCAGTGCACCTGGATTTGACCCTCAGCTCTGCCACCTGGGGTGAACCCTCAGCTCTGCCACTTGGGCTGAACCCTCACTCTGCCACCTGGACTTGACCCTCACTCTGCCATCTGGGATGAACCCTCAGCTCTGCCACCTGGGCTTAACCCTCAACTCTGCCACCTGGACTTGACCCTCACTCTGCCACCTGGATTTGACAGCAGCTCTGCCACCTGCACTTGACCCTCAGCTCTGCTACCTGGGCTTAGACTTCAGCTCTTCCACCTATACTTGACCCTCAGGTCCGCCACCTGGGCTGAACCTTCAATTCTTCCACTTGCAGACCCTGCGACCTCTCTGAGCCTCTTTCTTCAACTGAAAAGGGAAGAGAATCCCAAACGTGCAGGATTGTAATAAGTATGAGAACTAGAGATGTGATGCAAAGTACCCAGGACAGTCATTAGCCTATGTGTGTGCAACAAAAGGTGGTTATTATAATTATTCTCATTATTTTCATTTAAGCTCTGTGTGAACAGAAATTACACCTTATACATCAAGCTCAGCCCTTAGCCCCTGCTGAATGAGTGAGTGAATTAATTAATTAACTAGCAAACAGCGAGCAGCTCTTCCTAGGTCTCTTGAAACAGAGCTCTGGCCAGTTACCAGTTTGTGGAGCAGCTCCTGTGTGCACGCTCTCTGCTGGGCAGTTTCAGTAAGCCTAGGACATTGGTCCCTGCACCTGAAAAACTTAGCATCTTTCATGCAGAAAACACAAGTATGACCAGCAGAGTAAAGCTTTCATAATTTATTTCTATATTGTGGGCTCCAGTCCATGTTGTGGGAGACCAGAAAGCTAGGTCAAGGTAGGCCTCCAGAGGAATTAAGCCTAAAGCTAGTTTTGAAGGGTAGGTGGCTTCTGGAAGACACACCCTAGAGACAGAACACAGAGGGCAAGAGTGGGCATGCATGCTGGTGGTGCAATAGAGTGGCCTCCAGCTCAGGACATCAAGGGAGGGGCTTCTTCATTGGTCTTTGGTCTTGCCTCATCCCTCTCCCTCATGCTTTTCTACACGCTTGCCCTCCAACTAGTCCAGGGCAGAACTAAGAATAGGACTCCACACCCCAGGGAAAGCCTGAAGACCTCCAGATGCATGCCTCACAAGCCAAAGACCATCCTGATGTGTAACTGGGCAGGTAACAAAGGTTACCTGTACCAAGCTCATCAAGGTCCACCCTTCCTTCACTACTACACTCACATTCACAATTGTGACTCGGGGCAGCTCAGATTCAGAGTCAGCCCAAAGCTTTAGTCAAACCACTATCCAGGAGCCACCATGCCTTAAAGATGCCACCTGGGTTTGAGGCTGGCCTCCAGGGCCCCACTGGTCATCCTGGCTGCTCTCTCTGCTTGTACTCTGACACAGACATCACAGCTGGGTCCAACCTCCACCATCCCACTGGCTGCAGGTATCTTAGGTTGTGCTACAGAGGCAGATGAAGGAACAGGAGCAGAGATTTTGAGAAACAAATAGTAGACACTAAAGTCAGGGAAAGGCCCAAATCTAAAAGAAAAAAAAAAACAGGCAGAGCTTGTTTTTAGAGTCCTGTCAATGCCTGTCTATAGATTGTCTCTTCCCTGAGCTGCCCCAAGGCCCCTCCCCACCTTTGGTTCCTCCATATTCTATGCCTGCACCTTCCCATCCACCATCAGGGCCTTTGATAGCCATTCCTTCTTCTGGCTGTTGGCTGTCAAGGATAAAAAGCAAATTTATAGCCCATGCTGACATCTTGACATAATATGAGTGAAAGCATTTTGAAATCTCTTTTTTTAAAATTTTGAAATCTTTAAAGGGCCCTACAGATGTTACTAGCCCTGCATGTTTGCAGGGGCAGAGGTCTTAGCTGAAGGAATCCTCTCTGAAGGTGGGCACTGGTACACTGTGCTAGGGGAAGGGAGAGAGGCTGAAAGGCAGCAGTTCTTCCTGGGCTCTTCAAGTCATGCCATCTCTTATACAGTTTGGCACAAATCTTTAGGGTCACAGCAAAGGCTCGGCACTTGGAGGGCCCTTGGAGTAGGGAGAAAGATAAAACAGGATGTGGAGAACTTGTTAGAGAAAGGCTCAGAAGCAGGTGATGGGGAGGAAACTGGAGCAAAGGGACCAGGTGACACAAGCAAAAGGAAGCTAGAGAAAGAGCAGGAAGTGGATTCCCCAGACCTGGAGAAGGGGAGGGGAGTCATCAGAGCCCAAAGAGGTTCCCAGAGCTTCCAGGATAGAAGATCAGGAGAAGTTCTCCAGAGGGAGCTGGACTTCCAGGCATCAGGGCTTTCCCTTAAAGTGTCCCTCATGGCACCGTTACTCTCATTACTAACCACTGGCAGGTGCAGAGTGCAGTGCCCTGAAAAATCGGGTAGCCTCTGTCACGAGCCTTTCAAGGCCAGGGCTGCCCCGAGGGGAGACAGAGCATCCAAACTCTTTGAGGACAAGAACAAGACTCCAAGTGGGGATGGTTCTACCAACAGGCAGGCCTTCTTGGGAGCTTCAGACAGAACCAGTCACTTTCAGATTTTGAAGGCACTCACCCTGGCCTCTCCCCAAGAATCTTACCATGGACAGATTTCAATTAGGATCAACACTTACTGAGGTCTCCCCCTGCTTCCCTGCACGCATTTGACCCAGGAAAACAGCCTACATTTGAAACTCCAAGCTCAAAATTTGGATCCAACGGCCCTGCTGATCACCCCTCCTCTTGCCCCATAGGTCCTGCTAAAGCCTCTGTGCATGGTCAAAGAAATCAGGAAAACCCTCCAGTTCTCTCCACACAAAAGGGACCATTTCAAATCTGCCTCTTCAGCTCTGTTTGTCTTATAGCCTTGGCTCAAGAATAGCCCTCTCTTTGTGAATAAGTGTTTTCAAACTGCGCATTATTCGTGCTGGCCAATCCATGGAAACAACCAAAGTTTTCTTCTATAAACAATTGGATAAAGAAGATGTGGTACATATATACTATGGAATACCACTCAGCCTTAAGAAAAGATAAAATACCCCCATTTGCAACAACATGGATAGATCTTGAAAGTATCATGCTAAGTGAAAACGTCAGACAGAAAAAGTCAAGAACCGTATGATTTCACCCATATGTGGGATATAAAACTGGAAGTAAAAAATGAACAAACAAGACAAACAAACAAACAAAAATGCAGGCAACAGTATGGTAGTTACCAGAGGGGAAGAGAAAGGGGAGATATTAAAGGAGATAGTAAAGAGTAGAGGGAGTATCATATAGTTATACACTTGAAATCTATATAATTTTATTAACCAATGTCATCCCAATAATTTTTTTAATTTAAAACAATTTTTTAAAGAACAGCCTTCTCTAGCTTGATGCTCAAATATCTCTTTGCTGATGATGATCCTACCACAGGTTCATCCTTACCTTGAACCTGGATAAGTATGAGTTTTCTGCCACTAATCCTACTCCTCTCAGATCCTCTTCGATCCTCCCCAATCCTTTACCCTCTTTGCACACTACAGCTAGTACTACCATTTTTAAACAATCTGATCAAGTTACTCTCACTCAGTGGATTTTCCTCCTTCTTAGGATGAAGACCAAACTGTCTTATATGGCATACAGGGCCTTTCACGATCTGGGCCCTGCCTACTTGTCTGAACTGCTTCATCTGTTTACACCCATCCACAGCCTGCTTCACAGGCCCTCTCCTCTTGCACACACCATCATGCCATGCTCCAATCACAACTGGACATTTTTGGGAGAAAGGGTAAAATATTTATAATCTTTCACATCTCTATTCATTAATGCCAAAACATTTTATTTCTCAAGCACTATATAATACTTTGGAAATACAAGGCCAAATAGAACCTGGGCCTTTCCACCAACCCCTAGGTGCTCACAAGGAATGAGGATTAATAAGGAAGGAAGATAGATTCGTAAGGAGATAATTTCAGGAATAAGAGAAGAACAAAGTCGGGGTATGAACAAGGACCTATAGAAGCAGAAGCCCTCGGGTAGAGCATCTCAGAGTACATGAGTTTTGAGGTGCATCTAGAAAAGTAGGCATCTTCCAATGGGCAAGGTAGGAAAGGAGATTCCAGGGAGAAAGACAATAATTTGCATGGACCTTTGCAATAAGCCACTGAGCTTAGCTGTTTCAGATCATC